TCGTATAACTGGTATCGAGGCTAATCCAGTAGTATTACCACTACTGGTTATGCATCACGATATCTATTTTCATGTCCAGTGCTCGTTAAAGTGAACTCTAAATTTATAATGTTGCTAAACTATGTCCAATAAAGAAGGATTAGTAAGTCTCCATGAAATGTTGAGCACTATAAAGTTGTTGCGAGTACATCTTACAATAATAAGAAATTTTGTTTAAAAGATCAAGATCATTAACACTGTTAAAGTTAAAAATAGTTTTATCTCAAATCACAAGGAATATTCTTGTACAATCTTTTCTTGATTTTGAAAACGCTGAACTCTGTTTAATAAAGAAATATATGTATCATCACCAATCCCTCTTTTGATATGACATTTCTTAACGTTAAGTACGCTGTTTTACCCACAAGACAGCAAAAACTCACATGCAATGGCTTTGCAATTTCAACTATCCGAAGCAATAATATTTTAACAACTTCATTCTGCAGTTCATACTTTTTGCAATACAAATGGGTTGATTAAAGTCGTGTGTACACTTTTTATGATATTTTAATCTCTTCATTGGTGTTCACAAAGGGTCCGTGCTGGCGCCATATTTTTATAATGCCAGTGCTTCGCGCAAATGTGGTCTGTGGATTGAATTTCAAATTAAATGATGCAAAAGGATTCTGTTTATCGTTATTGATGCTATAATGACTACTGATATCTTTATTTAATATAATAAAATCGTAATTAAACATAATATAGAACTGAATTAATTTTAGCCTTGAATTGGGTAATCTAGATTTTAATAATGAGTTTACGATTTCTGTTATTCTTTTGCATTTTATTAGTAAATACGTGTGGTCGCAGGTGTTTGTGTGGCAAACTTTTTATTTCACTTTGCACCTTTTGTATGATTGAAATGTATTCTATTATTGTAGTATTGTAAATGTTCAACTTCTCTATTTATTACGACTTGAGTGATAAGTGCATCATTCTCTATTAAGTTCGTCGTCTTCTCAAGAACTTATGTTATTAAACTGGTCTTTAAATACTAAACTTTAAATACATTTCCATCTAGATTTACTGCACTTTATCAATTGCTGAGTAAAATTGTCAGGAACCGAGACGAGCTTGAAGTTGAAATGTGGATCTATCTGCAACAGTCATGTTCGTGATAAACGTACTTGTTGAAACCGATCCTTTCAACCTGTTTATCTCGACTTAATCGAAACGATAGCTAACAAGCTAAAGTTGTCTGTGAACTAACGCCCGTATTCACAAACATTACTATGAGGTCTCACAGTGCGCGTGGACGCACAGGGTCACACATAAACCAGTCACAGAGCTCTATTCAACGCTGTTCGTTTTGCTGCTTCATTTAAGCAAGCATCGTTTGTGAATACGGGTGTAAGTTCCAAACGTAGCTTTGCTATAAATTCGAGTCAATTATTCTGCATAAGTAGGTATTTTATTACACACCAAATCATTCAGTGATTTAAAAAAATCTAGTTTTACATTGACCTATTAGCGTTTTGTGATCAACACGTGATGGCATTTAAACTCGGTAGAAAAGATATTGGCAACTTTAGCACTAACTATGGCACGTGGCATCTTAAGTAGATAGTTTATAAGAATGATTTTGGGATAAAAATGTGAAGGTAGTCTAAAGTGCTATCGCTGCTCAAGTAGGTAGTTAGAAGTAGGGCATGTAATATCGGAAGGTTTTCAATTCCGATATTGGATTCCGATATTAGATCTCAATATCGGAATTCCGATATTAATATCGGAATTGAGTTCATGTGCTTTAAAATTAATATTTGGTTATATTCGTAAGAATTCTGGATTGTTTACAATAAAATAATGATTTTAATAAAAATCTTTAATTTGGTACAAAACAGCACTTCATAAAATTGAACTATTTTAAAACCATTTTTACGTTATGGGTATCCATTGCATTTGGGTTTTTATGTGACAAGAGGCAAACGAACAGACGGATCACCTGATATCGAATGGTTACTGATAATGAGCCTATATGGACTAGCAAATAATTAAAGTGTTTTTGTAAAATCACAGGTATCAAACAAACTTTTACTCCTTCATTGTATTACCCTGTTTTATATATTGGCGGAACGAATTTCAGGGTCATTCAAATTTTCAAACTCAAACAAAAATTGTAGAGAGTGGTAAAAAACTTGAATGTGCTTGTAATTTGTTCCTTTTTGATTATCGATGTACAACTCACAAAACCACGAGCCATCATCATCATCATGTCAGCCATAGGACGTCCACTGCTGAACACAGGCTCCGATGCTGATTTTCACAATGGCCGGTTGGTGGCGGCCTGCATCCAGTGCCTTCCTGCTACCTTTATGAGGTCGTCGGTCCACCTTGTGGTTATGAGTCCTACGCTGCGCTATCCGGAACGTAGCCTCCACTTCAGAACCTTGCTGCCTCATCGTCCGTCTGTTTAGCGTACTAAGGCAGAACCGTTGGAAGACCTTATCACAATGTTCGAAGACCTTAATCGAGTTTCCCAACAGGTAGGCCTTCGGATGAATATGGAAAAAACGAAGCTTATGTCGAATGTCTATGTTGCTCCTTACCCAGTTTCGGTTAGGAGCTTGTTGACAAGTAAGTATGTCTATCTCGGACAAACGATCAGCTAGGTAAATCGTCGAATATGAAGACGTAAGTCTTCAATTAGTGTGTGTTACCAGTGATGATATGCGGCTCGAAATCATGTACTTTGGGCTTTGTGGCAGGTTGTGGCGAGTTTAAACGATTTGCTTAAAATCTCAATTAAAACTTTTATCTGATTCCGATATTACGATATTGGGTCGCTCAATATCGGAATTGAAATATCGGATCTCGCAGTCCGAGATTCCGATATTACGAGATTCCGAGATTCCGATATTCATGCCCTAGTTAGAAGCAGTAGTAGAGGGAGATATTATAGCCTAGGTGTTTGCCTATTGTGACACAGATTAGTTTATAATGCTCATAGCACGGAGGAAGAAGTCAAAATGGCATGATTTGTAGCACATTACCCAACCCATTCTCAAAGACAATTTCTAATCCTGAGCTTTCCCTCTGATTCACCAAAAGACAGATCTGTGCTGTTACGGTTTTCGTATAAATCGCGTCGCCATTGTTTGTGATGTTTAGGTGCGCGCGCGCAAGTGAGGTGATTGAAAGATATAGGTCGCGGCGATGCCATAACAAAACTTGATACGAACTCGAAGATATAATACCATGGGTTAAACTCTTTATTTTTAATGTTTTCTTTCTGCATTTTTTATAAATTTTCAAGTTTTTAGCTCTCATAATACCTACCTATCCGGCTATCCGTGTCTGTTTATACCTAAGTATGATTTAAACTGCATAATCTTAAATTCAGTTTACAATTACGTGTAATCTTCGGGTCGATAAAATGTAGGTAACTCAAAATAAAACATAAAATAGTTAAATAGTCCTAGTGTGCTGTGCTTGAAATTAGATGATAGGATTACGATATAGATCAAACTTTCTTTTTCTATAAAATGTCGCCTTAACTTTTATCACTTACATTTTTATTATGCTTCTCCACTATCGAGTTTCAATCGTAACGTAGGTAGACTGTTTTGACGCGCGTAACTCAAACCCCATGTTTTGTCTGATCAAAACAACTCAAGTCTTTTGATTTGAAATTAAAACACAACCTAAATTCAACCTTTATCCTTTACAATACGTTGGATGTTCCATTGGCTTTGAAACATAGTTTTGTTTGGCCGCCCAGTTTTGTAAGCATCATCCGTATGAAAACAAATTATTGGACTGTTGGATTGTTGATTAAACAGTGGTAAGTTAATCTGTGGGATTGAGTTGTAGCCGCCATGTTTTGGCGGAGCGGCGCCATCTTTTGACGAGTAGCCAAATATTTTTTATTAGTAAACCTTTTTTCGCACAGTTGGCAACACATTTACCTAACTACCCTATAGTTATTTTTTTTATTTAGTAGTTACAAAGCTTTGGTAGTGAACATTCTTTCCCCGATTAAAATAAACTGTAAATATTATAAATCTATCTTTTCGAATTATTGTAGAAGAGATTTTTCCTTTTTATAATAATGGTAAGTGTTATTTTGTGTACTTTGTTAAAGCTCTTGAATCAGTTTGACTGAAATAACTTATTTAGTACTTTATTAACTATTCAACCCTAATATATCTCAGTCACATAGCTTGATTGGCACGTTTTTTAACTTGACTGGTGTTTTGCAATTCTTACTCGTAAATCGTAATAAATAAGTATTATTGTTATGAACTGCCAAGTTCTTTCTAACATGGTTATGTAAAATAAGATTTGTTCTGAATACTTTTAGGGCATGAATTAGAATGAAAGTTTTTTTAGCTTATAACTTTATATTACTGAAGTACATTTACACAAAGGTGCACGTTTAATCTAGAGAGCCTCTGTGTGGTCATAAAAGAAAATTGCGGTGGCCACACTATAGCTTATTGTTTTATGGCCGCTGTAAAATAGGGCCTCGACAATGTTTCAATCGTTCCATGTGCTTGATGTCTTGATAAAAAGAAACTCACTTCTTTGTCCTCTTTCCTAGTAATACATGAACTTTATAGGTATTACAAGCTTTTATTTTGTTCACCTGTCCCGCTAATCTTGCAAGTAAAATTAGACCAGATGCATTATAATAATTGACAGTTTTAGCAACTTTATAAGAATGCCCGTTTTCACCATTAATGGCTAATTTTAAGTGAAAACTAAATTCCTGATAAGTGTTTAATAGGGGTCACTGAAAAATTAAGTATTGATGGTGAAAAAGGGCATAAGCATCTATACTGACCACTGTGATAATATCGCAACTATTTGATGAATCGTTCGTCACTTCGTCCCATCCCAATAGTCACTAACATCCTAGCTGGTATATTAATGTACAGTGTGTAAGTGCCCTGGAAAGGGCCTATGTACTAATTAATTATTTTATTTGATTTGTATTTTATGGTAGTTTCTCCTCATTCCAGGTGCTGTGTGGTGCAGTGGCGGGCGCGGGCGAAATGGTCGGGAACGTAAGCCGCGTGCGTCGCTCGCCGCAGCCCTACCATCACCGCGTGATGTGAGTACCAATCATCATCATCATCATCTCAGCCATAGGACGTCCGCTGCTGAACAAAGGCCTGCCGCAATGCTTTCTGTTGGGAACCGATACGTGGACCAACCTCTTTTTGATATTCTCTATGTTTTTATACTTTTTTTACTCTTTTTGATACCTTTTGTTTAGTTTTGAAGTTGATGTTTTTGATGGGTGTCATACTTGCTATGGGGTGATAGCCGTTGTGGGCATTTATTGCTGAAATACATCTTCATTTTAAAACGAAGGTTTTTCTTATCTCTGCACGCCCGAGCGGCTGTCCGCTACACTTTCCATGTTGCCCGGTTGGTAGCGGCCTGCGTCCAGCGCCTTCCTGCTACCTTTATGATGTCGTCGGTCCACCTCGTGGGTGGACGTCCCACGCTGCACTATTTTCATTCATTCTATACTATTCCAAGGAAATACCATACGAATGAAAGTAATATTTCATTGCTAAATCAGATTTTATATGCCCAACATAAAATGGTCACTACATGGTGCACATACACATGAGTTGCTACTTTATTGAAATGCGAACAACTGTATGTCATACAAAATTGACTGCAACCTGACTGCACTGAGAATGCAATAAGCAGTTCGTTCGTTCGTTTTTTCCACAAAGACATCATTCAGGCATTCAGGCACCTCCCGCGACCTTCACCAGATCGTCGGTCCACCTAGTGGGAAAGCCGCCCACACTACTGTCTTTCGGCTCGTGGTCGCTACTCGAGGACTTTTCTGTCCCAGTGGCCATCAGCTCTACGAGCTATGTGCCCCGCCCACTGCGGGTTATGTCAGTCGTTTGTTATACTTAAACCAAATAGTAACTAACAGTTTCTAAAACCTGAATCTTGGTATTTTCCAGGACGGACGAGGAGCTGGACGCGACGGCGGCGTGGAAACGCTCGCACTGGCGCGAGATGCAGAGCGTCCTCAGGACTGAGGGCGCCAAGAAGGACGTCGTGGAGTGCTGCCCCTCCATCGGCGAGATGGTCGCCAAGAAGGGCGGCAGAACCTTCAGCGGCCTCTACGTAGAACTGTACGAGGACGGCGAGAACAAGCAGAGGCTCTACGAGCTCTCTTGCGCTCCCGAAGTCGTCGACAAGCCCTGTCGCTTCGTCGACGCTCGGCTGTACAACCAGTCGAGGTGCGTTCAAATATACTCTTACTCGTACGCGTTAGTGCGGTACACGGCCGCCACCGAAATGCCCCACCAAAAGACTAAAGGACACATATCAGTGCCAGGCTCCGGCGGGTGGTCGATGGACTACGTGAAAGTGCGCGCAGGGTGCGAGTGCCAAATTACCTCGAAGAGGAACCGAGCCCACAAGAAGAGGGAGCGGCATCGGCAAAGGAGGAAAAATAGGAAGCTAGAAGAAGAGGAAGAGACCTGACCACAGGCTCTAGTGCTAGTGAAATCCAGTGGGACATTGAACAAATTTACGTGGAGTCTTCCCGATTTAGTATTACCAGACCGATAGTTCTAGCGTCAGGTTTTTTATTCATAGCAACATCTTTTTCTTAGTTACTTCGCTGTTAACTTCTATACTATGTGTAACATTATCAGTACCTCTAGTAGGAAAAACTTTCGAGTTCGTTTCGTTGCGTATTCAAAGTGTCATCGAAAAATTTTGTATGAAAAATTAAACAGCGCCCCCTAGGGCGGCTATAATATAGGGGGCGCTGTTTAATTTTTCATACAAAATTTTTCGATGACACTTTGAATACGCAACGAAACGAACTCGAAAGTTTTTCCTACTAGAGGTACAGATGCTAGATCGATCAGGTCGCTACGCATGTTACCGATGTCAAGCGTGGACTTGTAGGTACTATCGGTTGATGTATTTTACTGTATTTATTTTCAAAAATTGTCTATTTAATTACGCTTCTTGTTTTAGTCTTGCGTAGTCGTACTCTTACGGAACTCCGATACTTTACAGTGCCTCGTGAAACTTAGTGCCTTGGTATTATTAATGTGAAATCAAGTATTTTAAATACGTAAAGTATGGTTAATTATTTAATATTTATTTAAGTGTATCCAGATTGTAATTGTATAAAATTGTAAACTGTTACTAGCATCTGTATAAGCTCAGTTTATTAGGATAAACTTGATCTAATTCATAATTCATCACAATTAAAACATACCTATTACCTACCAAGTCAAGAAATATTGTTACAAACATTGTATTGCAGTAACTGCAATAGGTACACTGTAGTAAACTGCAATGCACTTTACCAATTTGCTTCTAGTGCAAGCTCCATTATCACTACAAATGTTTATTAGATCTTGTTTTCATACTACAACTTTCGTAACACAGTCCAGCAACATACAGAATGCTTATTAAAACAAGCCTAAAATACGTATTTATAAATAGTTACCCAAAGTGATCGAGGCGCAAAGCTACCATCGACTTCACAGCGTTTCTCACTTCACCACGATGTTTGTGTTAAGCTAGTTACAGACAGTGCTGTGTGTAAGATTTTGTATGAGAGAACTTACCACTGCACTTGCTGTTAAAATAATCGTAAAATTTTGTGGTTATCATACTTGCCGCTTATTGTTGTATTAAAAAAATAGAATGAACTCTATAATTTTATGAAATATTTGACAAAAAATTGTGAAGTCAGAATAAATTATTTTCATTGACATACGCTCTCTTCGTCACAATAAATTAAGAATATTTATTCAAAGTTTACGAATTATAATTTTTTGTTATTATTTTAACAGTACTTACTTCGTAGGCATAAGTGCATCGAGTCAAAGATCTGTATTATTTTCTATTTTGTAATACTTTTATTGTATTTAAAATTTAATTATTTTAAGAATTAATACATTTATTTATACTGTTTAATACGAGGTATTCCGATATTCAGTATGAATATTAGTTGTATGTAGAAATCGCTTCCATAAAATGTATTGATGTATATAAATATCGCAATAGTATTGTGGACTGAGATTATTTTGTGCATTTAGATGTGTAATAAATAACAAAACGAAAATATTTTTATATGATATTAATAGGACTAAACATTTGCGCCATCTGTTGACGAGTAGCTAAAGTTCATGTAACGCCATTTGTTGACGAATAGCTAAAGGGTTTTTATTGTAACGCCATCTATTGACGAGTAGCATACATGTTATTGTAACGCCATCATCTAATAATTGACGATCAGCATACATATTATTGTAACGCCATCTATTGATGAGTAGTAAAACTTTTTTGTAACACCATCTGTTGATGAGTAGCAAAATTTTTTTATAACGCCATCTATTGACGATTAGTAAAAGTTTTTAACGCCATCTATTGACGCGTAGCAAAAGTTTTTAACGCCATCTAGCGGTAAATCTATGTGTCGTTGTTAGGTTCAGATTCTAACAGTGCCATGTTCATTTATTAATTTTAATATTAATTAATTTAATAATAAAGTTACATGCAGTTAAATCCCTTCTCAATAAATTGTTTACTGTTATTTAATCCTTCTACAATGATCTAATTTAGTAAATTAGCTTACACATTTCTATTGTACTTAGAAAAAACAATTTTCCAATGTTAAAAGATTTTAGTTGCATGAATATCAGTCCTATATCATCACAAACTGTACATTTATTGTTGACAGAAGCAGTCTTAATAAAGTAAAATGCGGAAATAGCAAAATTGTTTTATTGTCATTAAGAATAATATCAGTCTTAAGTAATATAGGTATGTACTTATTGCTAGTTTATAAAATACACACAATTATTATGTTTATCAACATACGAATCAACTTAACAATTAGGTAGCTAGGTACTAACTATTCCATTTTGACAGTCATACAAATCTCACAACAGTGGTACCGCCAGCATTACACAGCATCGTGATCTGAAAACATAAAAAGTTATTTTATTTGGCGATTCATATTTTATTATCATTCAGTAGACTTTTTAATAGTCAAAAACGCTGGTGTCAGACTTGGAGTCAGCAAAGGCGTCTGTTATAGCTCAATTGGACACCTTAAGCCCTTAAGGATCGACCAAACTAACGCGATCACACGCGATCAGCCGGCGTGCAGCGATGGCGATCAATGCATTTAAGTCTGGTCGCCATCGCTGCACGCCGGCTGATCGCGTGTGATCGCGTTGGTTTGGCCGAACCTATAATTATGCTGGATAAGCTGCCAAAGAGCGAGGCGAGCTAGCCGTCTCTGCTTTTAGTTATGCCAGCTAGCTCGCTCACGCGGCAACACTGCTCAGTCTCTTAAATACCAAAAAAGGGAGCTAAGAAGACTCACCTAAATACATAGTGGTCAAGTACATAACAGCAAAGCCGACGGCGACCGAGACGAACTGAGCGGCGCCTGCGCTGCGCTTGCGTTCGTGCCAACTAGCTCGCTCGCGTGGCAACACTTCGCTCACTGTCACGTACAGGAGAGTTCCGGCTGCTAGCGCCTGAAAAGATAATAATTAAAGTTATAGTTTTTCTCCAAAATCACTACAGATGGGTTCGTAAGATTCTTAAAGAAATTATTTCATATTAAGCTGCGTAAAAGGGATCGCCAGGGAGTCCTTATCAGTCTTCAGTCTCCAAGTCAGCCCCAAAAGATACTCATTTCAAAAACTAACTAGGTAGGTGGGTACTTAATGAGCAGAATAGGAATTGCCCGAGTCCTTAAAATCCTTTACAATGTCCAGCTAGCCTAGAATACGTAAACCGATAATTATAATCTCATCGTAGATTTTAAACGACAAAGATAAACGCCATCTACTCATAGCGAGTGGCAAAAGTTGTTTGTAACGCCATCTGTCGACAAGTGGCAAAAGCATTTTTGGAACGCCATCTATTGACGAGCAGCAAAAGCTTAATTTATCGATAAAAGACCGTTAAATCGTGGTGCGCATCTGGGGCTAGGCCGGTACCCAAAAAAAAGTTATTTCACTTTACCTGCATGATAGGGATCGCCATAGAGTCCTTCACAGCCTGCACAGTGTCCAGCCCGGCTCCCAGCCCGATGCCAGCCACGGAGCCGCCGCTGAACAGCAGAACGCAGACAATGTGCGCGCATAGCCGGCCCGGTGCGCTTGCGCTCAGCTCTGCACCGAGGCAGAAGGCGACTACGAACTTGTGCGACGCTACTGCCCCGAGGAGAAGCAAGACCTGGAAGGAAAACGAACACTTCTATGTACAAATCTGGCTTTGTCTATGGCCTAGCATATAAATTATTTTGTGATCAAAGCTTACTCAGCTTACGCCTCCCGCCTTAAGTGAAGCAGCAAATCGAATGCACAGCGTTGAATAGAGCTCTGTGATTGGTTTGTCACCCTGTACGTCCACGCTTACTGTGAGACTTCATAGTAATGGTTGTGAATACGGGTGTTAAAGTCCAAAGTAAACGTAGAGCTCCACCATTACAAACTTCACTTTCTGCTCCTCATCTGGGAATCAAACCCATGCCCATTGTCTATTGAAAACAAGGCCAAATGACTATGTGTCTGATTAATCTTTTTCCTCATCGAAGTTCCTTTTAAAATCCCCGATCCTGAATGTCATTCAGTGACTTCTAAGTATCCTGTCACGTCATTCAAAGACAAGCTGATCAGAATAAAAATTGTGTTAAAGAGCGAGCGCACTCCATTATTCGAATCACGTACATAAAGACGAAATACCTACGTCTAATAACAACATGAAAATTGATCTCATTACATGATATGACTTTTTCTTCAATGTTTAGATGCATGGTAACGACTGAGGACTAGTGTCCGAATCGTCATATCAAATCGGAACACGGCATAACAGAATCATTGTCGTTTTTCAGCTTACACTGTGCATGCCGCCTGGCGACTAAACCTCAACCATAATATCATCGATGTAACCCCACTCTGATTTTAACTTTGAACACTATAGAAGAAAATTGACCCAATCAGGGACCCCTAGCAGGCTCCATGTTATAGGTTTATGTCTATTAAATGGGACCATTCCCACCTCATTCCCACCACTGCAACTCCTATGTAGCCAGGATCTACAGCTAGACCGCCATAAAAACCCAACCAATGAAGGTCAAGTTTGCCCCGGGGGAAAGTTTAAACTGTCATTGGACCCGCAACGAAATTGATCAGAAGAACAGTGGAGGAGTTCGAAATTTCATTAAGGTTAAGGTTTGACTTCCCTCCATTGCAAAGCGGATGACAGATTATGTCTATTAAGTGAGAACCTTTGTAATACCACAGATAATATAATACTAGGTAATACCAACATGGAGCAATAAAGAATTTGAATTTGTAAATCCTACTTGATTTTACAATAATGTCCCGGCATGGCAGCGACCCATAATACTAGACCTAATTCAACCACAAACTGCCATGTTTCGGGTAGCTATACATAAGTACCTATTTGGCACGTTTTCCTGATGCTTAATTTAAGACTCATGCCCGTTTTCACCATCAATCCCTAATTTTTAAGTGACCTCTATGGTAATAACATAACAGGAATTCTGTTGTCGTAGGAGTCACTTAAAAATTAGGGATTGATGGTGAAATCGGCCATCAATCACTCACATTCTCATACTCGTAAATATTTACCCATTGTGTAAGTATGTTGTTAAATAAAAACAGATATATTTTAAATAATACGGTATTAATTTAATTCACTATCCCGTGAAAAATATCCTTAAAGTAAGAAAAACAAGTATTTATCAAAAACAGTTCCCTTTTATCACAATGCCCGGTAAAAAACCTTGATTTACCCGCACCCACATTTAATCTCAACTTTACTCATACCCACTTCCGGTGCATTATTAAATAACTAGTTAATATATGCTTCAAACCTATCGCATTAGAGTTCAAATTGCACTACACTAGATCATAATCTAATNACCCACTTCCGGTGCATTATTAAATAACTAGTTAATATATGCTTCAAACCTATCGCATTAGAGTTCAAATTGCACTACACTAGATCATAATCTAATAAATGCAATCAAAATGCATTGATAAGGACACATATTTATTGATAAACACCTATTACTGGTAATTTACACAAGTCTTCAGTATCTAAGGAATAGAAACGTTTTATTTAGACGAGGCTTTACAACAATAAAATTAATTAGGTATTTTATTTGATACTAGCTTTCCGCCCGCGTGGAATTTTGTTTGTCACAGAAAAACTTTATCGCGTCCCTGTTTCAAAAACCGGGATAAAAACTATCCTATGTCCTATTCCCGGGACTCAAACTATCTCTATGCCAAATGTCATCAAGAGGTTCAGTGGTTTAGGCGTGAAAGCAAGACAGACAGACAGACAGAGTTACCTTCGCATTTATACTATTAGTATAGATAATATACATTTCTAATAATTAATTAGGTATAGACGGAGACATTATTGTGTATAAGGTATACTTTACATTATAGTATATTTTTGTTACAAATTATTTTTAAGTGCCATATCGTTTAAAAATAAAGCTTTCTTTACAAATGTAGAGTCGCGGCTTTAATTTGCCCTGTGTCTCTGTAGAAACTGACTAAAGAGAACCTTACAATGCCATGGGTCACTAAATAATATGAACTGGTTCAGTCAGTCAACAGGCACAGTC